GAAAAGAAAAATAATAGTAGGCCAGGCGCGGTGGCTCACGCCTATAATCTCAGCACTTTGGGAGGCTGAGGCAGGTGGATCACCTGAGGTCTGGAGTTCGAGACCAGCCTGACCAACCCCATCTCTACTGAAAATACAAAATTAGCCAGGCGTTGTGGTGCGTGCCTATAATCCCAAATTATCCTTTGAACCTGCTACTTAAAATAACAGGAATTTAGGCCAAAGGGACTCAAGGACTCAAGTCACACCTTTTCGCTGACCGGAGGCAAAATCTACTTTAGGGTTTTGCTTGTAATTGGTATTTTATACATTCGACCCTGGCCGAACTGACCAAGTGGGTAGGCTTCAACTTCCCGAGGCAGCCCAGGAGCCCCTCACGCCTTTCCTTCCACTGATCAAGCCCTTCCCGGTTCCTTCCAGCTGGAAGGCAAGTCCCCCGTCCGGAGCCACGCCGACAGGTGCAGCGCCCAGAGCCGCCGCTCGCTCTGCGTTGGCGCCAGCTACCCTGCGCCCTCCCGCCCCGCCGGCCGCGTCCTCGCCCTCGCTGCTCCGCCCTCTGCCCCGGCATGCGCGCGCACCCCCGGGGGGGCGCGCCCGCCCGCCGGGGCCGCGCACGCAGCCGCCGCCGCCACCGCCTCCCTCCCTCCCTCTTTGAGGGCCCTCCTCCCCTTCCCTCCCCTCCGCCCCCTTCCCCGTAGGCAGCCCGCCCGCCAGTCTGCCCGCACCGCCTCCCTCCCGGCCCCTAGTGCTCCGGCTGGGTCTCTCCCCCGCCCCCCAGGCTCCCCGGGTCGCTCTCCTCTGGCGGTCGCCCGCGCTCGGTGGATGTGGCTGGCAGCTGCCGCCCCCTCCCTCGCTCGCCGCCTGCTCTTCCTCGGCCCTCCGCCTCCTCCCCTCCTCCTTCTCCTCCTCAGCCGCTCCTCTCGCCGCCGCCGCCGCCTCCACAGCCTGGGCCTCGCCGCGATGCCGGAGAAGAGGCCCTTCGAGCGGCTGCCTGCCGATGTCTCCCCCATCAACTACAGCCTTTGCCTCAAGCCCGACTTGCTGGACTTCACCTTCGAGGGCAAGCTGGAGGCCGCCGCCCAGGTACTGCGACCCTCGGGCGCCGAGACGAGCTGCGGAGTGAGCAGTTAGGCCGCGCCCGCAGGCTGGACTCGGGGCCCGGCCCGAAGGGCGGGCGGGCCTCGGGTCGGGGCTGGGCGGCCGCAGGGCGCCGGGGTCGGCGTGCTCTGCCCTGGTCGGCTGGGGCTGGGGGCCGGGCCCGGAGCCGGGGCTGGGGCTTGGGCTGGGGCCGCGCTGCGGGAGCGAGGTGGAGCTGGCGGCCCGACCCGTGCACCCTTCCCCGGCGAGCACACCTGTGTGGGACTTCCCCCTCGCCCAGGGCCCTTCTGGGCTTGATAATGTTCCGGGGGAGGCTGGAGGGTGCTGGGAGAGGACGGAGAGGTCATGGGAGTCTCCGCTCTGCCTCAACCACCTGACTCAGTTCTTTCTTTGGTTTCTCTCTACACCCCTCGGGTGATAGATTGGAGGGGGTGGTCATCTGGGACTCTGGCCGCCGCGCGGGAGCGAGGAGGGGAGCTTCTAGAAGCGGGGAGCTTCTAGAAGCGGGGAGAGGGTGAGAACGAGAATGTTAATCCCAGGCAGCCTCGTTGAGTTCTCCCCGCCTGCTCCAGCCCAGGGGCTGGGTTTCCAAGATGATCCGCCCCCTCCCCCTTCCCCTCAAGTGACAGTGCAGCAGTGACTTTGTTCTCTCCTAACCTCTAGAGAAGCTGCGGGAGGACCCCATCTCCGCTTTTCCTTCTATCTTCCTAGCTTTGCGGCCTTCGAAGCTGGTGGATTTATTGCTGCCGTGATGGTTGCTTAGCAGTACCTTCCTCTGAAAGAAGCTGGCTGGGCGCGGTGGCTCATGCCTGTAATCAATCCCAGCACTTTGGGAGGCTGAGGCGGGCCGATCGCTTGAGGTCAGGAGTTCGAGACCAGCCTGACCAACATGGTGAAACCCCATCTCTACTAAAAATACAAAAATTAGCCGGGCGGGGTGGTGGGCGCCTGGTAATCCCAGCTACTCGGGAGGCTGAGGCAAGAGAATCACTTGAAACCTGGAGGCGGAGGTTACAGTGAGTCGAGATTGCGGCCACTGCATTCCAGCCTGGGCAACAGAGTGAGACTCCTCAAAA